TTCCAGGTCCAGATACAGGTCCATGTCTAGATATAGGTCCAGGTCCAGGTATAGGTCCAGGTCCAGGTCCAGGTCCAGGTATAGGTCAGGTGTAGATATAGGTCCAGGTCCAGATATAGGTCCAGGTCCAGATATAGGTCCAGGTCCAGATATAGGTCCATGTCCAGATATAGGTCCAGGTCCAGGTATAGGTCCAGGTCCAGATATAGGTCCAGGTCCAGGAATAGGTCCAGGTCCAGATATAGGTCCAGTTCCAGATATAGGTCCAGGTCCAGGTATAGGTCCAGGTCCATGTCCAGGTATAGGTCAGGTGTAGATATAGGTCCAGGTCCAGGTATAGGTCCAGGTGTATCTGAAAGACAAAAACATGTTAAGGATAGAAAAAATAATTGCAAATACAAAACAGGTTGCGCAGAGTCTTGTCACCCAGGAGTTACCTGCATGTTGTCCCTAACTAAGTCCCACTTCTGGTGGCCGACATTGACCCAGGACGTTAAGGACTTTGTTGCTACCTGTGCCACTTGCGCCCGCAAAAAACCAGGAAATCAACCCTTGGCCGGACTCCTACAACCACTACCCTCACCCAGCCGCCCTTGGTCCCACATATCGGTGGACTTTGTCACTGGACTTCCCCCGTCCGAAGGTAACACGGTCATCTTGACTGTTATTGACCGATTCTCTAAATCGGCTCATTTCATTCCCATAGTCAAGTTACCTTCTGCTCTCGAGACTGCACAATTATTAATCCAGCATGTTTTTCGAATCCACGGTATCCCCTCCGACATTGTTTCTGACCGTGGACCACAGTTTATTTCCCAGGTCTGGCGCTCATTTTGTAAAACCCTAGAGGCATCTGCAAGTCTGACTTCAGGTTACCACCCACAGTCTAACGGCCAGGCTGAGAGGTGTAACCAGGAACTTGAGAACACCCTTCGTTGTGTCGTGGAGAGCAATCCCTCAGCCTGGTCTCAACATCTGGTGTGGGTGGAGTATGCCCACAACGCCCACAGATCCACAGCCACAGGTATGTCACCGTTCGAAGCGTCTCTGGGATACCTTCCTCCCTTGTTTCCTAGTCTTGAGACGGACATCATGGTGCCGTCTGTCCAGCACCACTTCCTTCGATGTCGACGCGTTTGGCTGCAAATGAGAGCAGCCCTTCTACGCACCGCAGCTCAGAACAAGAGGTACGCCGACCGACACCGCTCCTCTGCCCCGTCTTACCAGGTGGGCCAAAAGGTTTGCCTTTCGACCAGAGACATTCAATTGAAGGACATTCCCAGAAAGATGGCTCCACGTTTCATTGGCCCATTCACCATCACAAAAATAATCAACCCCACAGCAGTCCACCTTCAACTCCCCAGCTCAATGAGGATCCATCCCACATTCCACGTCTCTCAGGTGAAGCCGGTCTCCGAGAGTCCTCTGTGCCTGCCTACCGACCTCCCTCCACCTGCCCAACTGATCGACAACCATCCCGCCTTCACGGTTCGTGCCATTTTGGACATCAGACGTCGAGGCAGGGGTTTCCAGTATCTCGTGGACTGGGAGGGATACGGTCGCGAGGAGAGATCCTGGATTCCCCGCTCGTTCATTTTGGACCCAAGTCTGATCACTACGTTCTTCAGAGCACACCCCGAAAAGCGCCTCAGGTCGCCTGGAGGAGATTCTTGAGGGGTGGGGGGGTAATGTGAGAGTAGCTCTGGCTGCAGCTCCCAAGATGGCCGCTAACGATCTACACCTGGCAGTCATCTCCCTGATGAGCATCAACTCCTATTTAAGGCTGCAGTCAAGACTACTCGATGCTGGAGCATTGATTCCCTCCCGGTACTAGTGCTCTCAGCCTTTTATGTTCTGAAGTATTTTTGATACTGACCTTGTGCTTACTGTGCCAGCAGTTCCTCATTTTGGCCGTGTCATTCCAGTCCTGATCTCTCGGCATCCTGTCTGGTCTCATGAAACCCGGACCTGTGGATCTTTGACGTCTGAACTCTGTTGCTGGGACTCATGCATCTTGGGACTCCTGAACTCACTCCAGTACCAAGGAAACTGTAAGACAGAAACAACAAATATCAAATCCTATTCTCCTGTGTCACTTACCTGCTCCCGACCTGAGAAACTATTTCCCCTCTTCCAGGAGTTCCAGTCCCAAGGTCCGGTACATATTGTATATATTTTCTAACCACTGTAAATAAACATCACTTTTCGTAGCCTGAGTCTTGTGTCGTTCTGGGTCTCGTTACAACTGGGTTGCCCGCTATTACAACACTCGCTCTGTTGGATCCTTGGACTTGTCCCCCTCTGGAACTCTTCTAAGGATTTGGAGTGGACCCTAAGGAGGTCTTCAAATCTGTAAGAGATAAAACATCATCACATGAATATTGCCTGACCCTCTGCCGACCTCCTCTGACCATCTCCCTCCTTAGGCTCCTCTTCCAGGAGCTGCAGAGAAGCTACTGTACAAAACACTGTACCCCGCCCCTCTCACAGTGATTGCTGGACATGGGCAGCGGCGACCCCCTTGACCCAAAATGGAATAAGTAGGTAAAGATAATGGATGGATGGATTTTTTTTTCTTCTTTCGGCTGCTTTTTTCATCAGGACTCATCATAGAGAAATTACTTGCACAAAGATTTACTCTGGATGTCCTTCCTGATGCAACCACAGACCACCGAGCTACCACAGCCCTCTGTGTGGAGCTGGGCATATTTAGGGTGCCTGGAAATTGGAGGCAGATGTCGATGCTTCACCTTTTCCCCACACACATTTTGATGTTGTCAGTCTCGGGAGTCGAGCCAGCAACCTTCTGATCACAGGCTCGCCTTCTCTAGTCCATGCACCACCACTCCTGCTGCTCCATCATTAATATTTGTTACAAATATCTGTACCTTATAGTGATGGTTTGTATCGACAGGGTGTTAATTGCACACAAGGATACATGTGTACAGTAGGTGTGTGGATCATGATCCTGATTTACCAACTTGTGTTAATACTGATGCTTCTGATTATGGACTGGGTGCGGTATTGACACAACTGCATTCAGATCAAAGTGAGAGAGTTGTCGCTTTTGCATCTAGGACATGTTCTCCTGCTGAACTCAAGTCCTCCACAGTTGAACGTGAAGCTCTTGCCTGTGTGTGGGCTGTGGAGAGTTGGAGGACCTACCTTTGGGGTTGTCACTTTGTCCTTCGTACAGATCACCAAGCACTTACAACCTTACTCATCTCCAAAGGTTCTTGACGTACTGGACTGAGGATCTCCAGATGGTCAACTCGACTGCTCTGCTTCACATCTGACGTCACTTATCACCCAGGACACCAAAACGTCACTGCTGACTGCCTTTCCAGGTTACCACTAACTGCTGCAAATGAGGCTACAGAGGAACCTGACATGATTGCAGCTGTTTTTAAGGAGTCACTGTGTGCCATTTCTCTTTCAGAGTTCACTTCTGCCAGTGAAACCTTCCCAACCAGATTCAAAAAGGTTGGCCCAAATGCAAACACGGTTTGCCCGATAACCTTACTTCATATTTTCAGGTACGAGACGAGCTCTCAGTTCATGGTTCACAGATAATGAGAGGGACGAATCGACTAGTTGTTCCTGTTTCAATACGTGCCAGAGTTGTTGATTTAGCACATGAGGGACACCAAGGCATAGTCCGTACCAAGCAGAGACTGCGTGAACTGTTCTGGTGGCCACAACTGGACTAACTTGTTCATTCTGTCATTGCTTCCTGTGTTAACTGCCAGTTCAGTAACAAGGTAAGTATAACTGCTCCTGCTCCATTAACACCAGTTGAATTGCCCATCAAACCATGGGAAAAAGTTGCTATAGACATTACAGGCCCATTTGAAAATGCTACATGGGACTGCTGTTACGCTATTGTACTTACAGATTACTACAGCAAATGGCCTGAGGTTGCATTCATCTCTACTGTAACTACAGACGTCATCATTCGCTTTTTAGCCACTGTGTTCAGTAGGGAAGGTAATCTGACATACCTTGTCTCAAATAACGGTTGTCAGTTTACTTCTCATACAATTAATAACTTTCTGAGGGAGATACAGCACCTAAGGTCCAATGTATACTATTCCAAAGCAAATGGTGCCGTAGAGAGATTTAACAGAGTACTTTCTGCATACAAACATGCAAAATAAGTCACAACTCATGGACAGAAGCTGTAAAAGAGTTCCTGTACAACTACCGAGCTACTCATGCAACAATGGGAGCAACCCCATTTGAGCTACTGAGAAACAGGAAAATGTGCACCAAGTTAAACATACTCCCAGTAGCACTGAAAAGCAAAACACACACCCAAATCAAAAAGAGGGTGAAACAAAAGCAGAATAAAATGAATGAATACTGTCACGTTCGGCCGTCAGGTGTGTTTGAACCCACGTGCAGGAGGATGACGAGGACGCTCGAGGAATAATGAACAATATTTATTAAACAAAACAAAATCAAAATGCTGACAGGGCAGCTACTCACAAACTGGAAACAGGCAGGTCAGGGCTGACAGGACAAAAAGCTGCACACGACACCATTGAAGGATAATCCGGAGACAAAGACAAGACAGAAGAGTGCTGAATATATACACACACCGATTAGGACAATGACAGACACCTGAGGTGATTAACATGAGACACAGGTGAGACAGGGGCTGAACACAAAGGAAGGAAAACACAGAGAGTTGAATCAGGAAACATGAGGAAACAGACAGAGACAGGACAAAAACCCAGAAACCCTACAGTACCCCCCACACAAGGGATGGCTCCTGACATCCCAAGGACATGCTACATCCAGCTTGGGTGGGAGGCGGGACAAAAGAGGACAGACCAGGATGAGTAGACACAGGACCAAAAGAACAAAAAACCAACAGGAAAACCTGGGAAATGCCAAACACAAAAATCCAAGACCCTAACTCAGGGTCAAGGTGGACAGTCAGGAGACCGTCCCAGGCAGGTCTGATGTTCAGGCGGGCGGTCCGGTGATCATCCCCAATGAGGCAGGGGACCAGGAAGGCAGCCTGGGAACCGTCCATCCCCAGACCCTGGTCTCGGCAGGCAGCTAGGAGACCATTCATCTGTGGGCTGCAGGGGCGTCCACCTGTGGTCACCTGGACTCAAGCAAGCGAGGACCTCTTCGTGTGGACCAGGGGCGAGGACCTCTTCGGGTGGGCCAGGAGCAGAGACATCTGCAGGCAGGCCAGGAGCGAGGACCCCAGCCGACGAGCCGGGAGTGAGGACCCCAGCCGAAGACAAGACAGGAGTGAGGACCTCAGCCGAAGATGAGCCAGGAGCGAAGACCTCAGCTGAAGACGAGCCAGGAGCAAAGACCTCAGCCGAAGACGAGCTGAGAGCGAAAACCTCAGCCGAAGACGAGCCGGGAGCGAGGACCTCAGCCTAAGATGAGCCGGGAGCGAGGACCTCAGCCGAAGACGAGCCGGGAGCGAGGACCTCAGGTGAGCCAGGAGAGAGGACCTCAGGTGATCCAGGAGCGAGGACCTCAGGTGAGCCAGGAGCGAGGACCTCAGCAGAAGAGTCGGGAGTGATGACTTCAGGCTTGCCGAGATCTTCTGCGGTAGAGTGGACCTCAGCCGAAGAGACGGGAGCGTGGACCTCAGCCAAAGAGCCGGGGACTAGATCTGCAGGAGGGGAGTCGGGTACCAGGACTACAGCTGGAGAACCAAGAACAGGGACCAGAGACGGGACTACAGCTGGAGAACCAGGAACGGGGACCAGAGACAAGGCTGCAGCTGGAGAACCAGGAACGTGGACCAGAGACAGGGCTGCAGCTGGAGGAGTGGGGACCAGAGATGGGACTACAGCTGGAAAACCAGGAACGGGGACGAGAGATGGGGCTGTAGCTGGAGGAACGTTTTTTTTTTGGAAGTGCTCTGTTAGGAAAATATGGAACAATAAGATCTGTAATATAAGATGGAGCTAGGTTGTTGAGAGCTTTGTAGGTTAGAAGTAAGATTTTGAATTCTATTCTGGATTTGACAGGGAGCCAATGGAGAGAAGCTAAAACTGGAGAGATGTGATCTCTCCCAGTAACTCCAGTTAAGACTCTGGCAGCAGCATTTTGGATCAACTGAAGACGTTTTAAAGAAGTATTTGGACACCCAGATAATAAACCATTGCAATAGTCCAGTCTAGACGTGACAAATGCATGGACCAGTTTTTCTGCATCATCTTTAGATCAGATGTTTCTAATGTTAGTGATATTACGCAGGTGGAGGAAGGAGGTTCTAGTAACGTTTTTAATGTGGGGGTTGAAAGGTCCAGGTCTCTCTTGTAAATGAGTCCCAGAGGCTCATTGGGACAAACCTATATAAAGAAAGGTTGAAAGAAAAAAAGACATATCGTGATCAAAGCTAACACCATGGTTTTTACCTTTAGAACCGGAGGTCAAATTAATGTCATCCAGAGAAAGTGAAAGACTGAAAAATTAATTCCTAAGATGCTCAGGTCCAAAAACCAAAACCTCTGACTTGTCTGAGTTTAAAAGCAGAAAATTAAGGGTCATCCATGTTTACATGTCCTTAGATTGTAACTTAACTGACTGGATTCATTGGCAGCATGACGGCTCAGTGGTTAGCACTGTTGTCTCACAGCAAGGAAGTCCTGGGTTCAATCCCCAAGTGGAACTGGGCTCTTTCTGTGTGGAGTTTGCATGCTCTTCTCGTGCTTGCATGGCTTTTCTCCAGGTACTCCGGTTTACTCTCACAGACCAAAAACATGCATGTTAGACTGCCTTCAGGCCAAGGCCTCCCTTGCAAAAGAGATCTGTGATCTCAGTGGGATTTGCGTGATTAAATAAAGTTGAATAAATCTGGTTTCATGGGCAAATATAACTCTATATCATCAGCAAATGTATCCCACGCTGTTTAATAACTTTACTGGAATCATATATAAAGTAAAGAGTATTGGTCCAAGCACTGAGCCCTGAGGAACTCCATGACTAACTTTGGTGTATGAAGAAGATTCATTATTTACATTTACAAACTGGAATCTATCAGATAGATATGATTTAAACCATTTTAGAGCTGTTCCTGTAATCCCAACATCATATTCAAGCCTCTGTAGTAAAATATTGTGATCAACTGTATCAAATGCAGCACTGAGGTCTAACAGGACCAGTAGAGACACAAGTCCATTGTCTGAG